CTGTATACGTATACGGCCCTAAGCGTTTCCAGAACGTTCGCTGTCGGTCACGTACGCATCCTTCGCATAGGTGACTCACAGGCAGGGATCTCGTAATTTTTCGCTCGGCCGGAAAGTGGGGACGACGCGACCATGGTGGGGACCAATAGTTGGTGGGAGTATGCAGTGATTTTCACGGTAGCGCTGCGGAGAGCTTCGCGAACGCGCATGAGCACGCATGAGGGGAATAGTAGTGGGGATCGAAATACGGGCGAAAAAGAGGGGAAGCGAGCCGTGCGCGAAAAATTACGAGATCCCTGCTCACGGGGCGAGTCTAGCGTGGAAGCTTCTAAAATATGCCCAAATATGGTCATCTCCACCCCGAGAAAGGGCCTCATTTGCGTATAAAAGGACGCTGGACTACAGCCCTTCGGATTAGGGATGAGATCATTTTTCCCTCGGCCGGAAAGTGGGGACGACGCGACCATGGTGGGGACTTGACGGGGGTATGCTAGGCATAATCAGCGAAGGCGCATGAGGCAGCGGTGGTATAACTTTTCCCTCGAGGCTCGCTTCCCCTGTTTTTCGCCCGTATTTCGATCCCCACTACTATTCCCCTCATGCGTGCTCATGCGCGTTCGCGAAGCTCTTCGCAGCGCTACCGTGAAAATCACTGCATACTCCCACCAACTATTGGTCCCCACCATGGTCGCGTCGTCCCCACTTTCCGGCCGAGGGAAAAGTTATACCACCGCTGGCATGAGGGAAATAGTAGTGGGGATCGAAATACGGGCCAAAACCAGAGGAAGCGAGCCGTGCGGGAAAAATTATCTCATCCCTGCTTCGGATTAGTCTGGAGTTAGAATTCTAGAACGCGGAATCGGTGTCTCATCCCGCTGAGAATTTTCGTGTGAGTTTAACTTAGATTTTCCCCGCGACTTCGGTGCGTTAATCGTAGTAGGAATTTTCTTACCGCAAGAGTTGACCAATTGATAGAATATTGTATCGATACAATATTCCATCAATTTAATTCAACAAGTACGTTAGAGAATAAAAGACTGTGAGTTTAAACTCTTAGATTCGTTTCAATATTCATTTCAACCCTGATTCCACATTAGCTGATAACCGAAGTATCTCGCAACCGATACGTCTTAGCCGCTCGAGACGTATCAACGAAGTTGACCTGCCAATCTGACAACCTTTATACATAAGTGGCTAAAGGGGACTGACCCTCCCTAGTCGTCCACGTCCTGCGGCAACCGAGGCTAACACACAGTGTTAGATTAGGGTCGTCTGTGCGTCTTTTTCCTTCCCTAATTAAACCCGACTGAGTCGACTGACTCGGTCAGCCATTAGGCCCTTGGCACGGTTCGACCTCGTAACACTGTAGTAAACCAAAGAAGAGAACGCCCGACCTATCAACAATCTATCTTTTCCCCATCCATTCCATTTGAATAACGATTAAATGTATTAATTGTTATTCATAATAACGAACGAACAACAATTTCCTTGCATTGTTATTCATCTAGTTTATTATTCGTCATTTTCTTAAAACGCTTCGTATTGAGCGGAGCGGTTGTTCACGCGTCAAAGGCTGGGCGTCTGGATCCGAGCCAACGCTCCCGATTTGAAGCTCGCGTCAACCGAGCGCTCTGATTGGTCGGGGTTTTTTGTTAATAACTCCTCAACCACGCTTCGGATAACTTCCTATTTCAATATCTTACACTAGTTTTGGGACACCCTGTATTCCCGATAGACTAGTCATTAATTTATAACAATTTCATGGCGTTGAAGTTATCGATTTGCGATCAGGTCGAGCAATTATAAGGTCATTTATTACGTAGCGTACTATTTAATACCTAACATATGATACTGGCTTGTCAGAAATGGAGCACGCAATGTGCTAGAAAGAAATGTATTTACTGGCTAAGGATTTTTCGATTTGAAATACTCATTTATTCAAGAAGTATGTGTATTGAACTTTTCTTCGATCAATGCCACTGACATATGTCATTTGCTAGTTGTTTTTCAGATGGTTGGATCGATTATCATGTATCTCGTAATTCTGATTCAAGCAAGAAGCATGTCGATGGAGTCCATGGATACTATGAAGAATAATAGTACTGAAAATGGAAATTTTATGTCACCATGAGAAACCGATGATATTTAAGGACTTACATCTTTTTCAATTCTTCTATGAAAACTCTTTCTTCTAACATTGTAACTATTAAACAGTGAATCATTATGCCAAAGAAAACATTTGTGATGACAATTTAGAAATGAAATCTAATTAAAGTATGTTTGGTTTTATAACACCAATCTATTCATTAAGTAATATATAACAAAATTGCAAACGAAGTCCGGAGTACTTTCTAGAATGGTTGACAGAAACTCTGACATCACCCTCTAAAAAGTTAAGGAAGGTCTGACATCACCCTCTAAAACTACAAAATTCCCATAAGTAGACGCTACAGACACAATGTCTTACACCGTCGAGAACGAAGAGAAAGTCGCCTACAAAACAAATGTTTTATTGCATTAACGCTTTCACTTTTCGCCTTGAGAACTGTACGAAGACTTTGCCTGAAGACGTACGGAAAAAATCTTTACTCGTAAAATCAAAGCTACCGCCACACTAATAAAAAATAGTGACTTGTACTACACTTCTTTTCCCCCATGAAACAACCTGTACAATTTCAATCGAATTAAGGGAAAAATGGGATAAAGGGAACTGAGAACCGAAATCAATATATTTCCGAATTATTTGAAAGTCTCTTCCCCTCATTTACTTGCAGAGAAATGTATTAATTTTTTTTTGAATCCGCTGTATGTGCTAGAACTTACGCGAAATACTTCTGGAAGCTGCTAAGGAATTCTGTCGGAACTAGCGAGCTCCGCGCGGACAAGAGTGAAAATTCATGGCTGCCGAATATATTCATGATTCCGGGATAGGAAAAATCACGAGGTCGGGCTCCGACATCGTCGGTTTAAAATCGCATACGAACGATCGAGTGACGAACCGAACGTCGCATCACGCGTCACCGGCTGACTGCGATTTTTATAAGCGCCGACACCTAGGACAGCAACCTTCGAAAAATATTCTCCGAGGGATGAAACGGTCGTAAAATCGCTAGCTAGTGTACGGTTAGAATATGAAACTCGTCGGTTTATGCGAGATATTGCATGTTCGTATTTGTTCTGCTTTCAGGAAAATTAAATTTAGTTTGGTACATGCAATGCCAAACTTAAAGATAACTGTTATTGTTCTGTTCTGATGTTGATTGCACGAGTAGGAGAACCGATATTGTTCCAGCGAGGGAAGTTCCAACAGAATATCAAAGTCGACGGCTACTTGCCATTCACCATCGATTTAGCGAAGTCGAATATCATAGATCTCAACAGGAATAACTTTGCAGTTCCGTTGCCGCCTTGTCTCTTATCGACCAAATATAAATCCTGCCGTCAAAGTTAAGGATGAATAATAGCGAGCGACCGAGACCGCGTCACCATTCTTCCAGAGACATTGAGACACCAGAGAAACACATTTGTATCTACCGCTAAAAATGCGAACTGTCATTTTTCATCGGAAAACCATATTTCTCCGAATTCATTTCCCCTGGTCACATATTTTTGCGAATCGAGGATCTCTCGGTTTCACCTACGTATTTGAATCTTCTCTAGAATTTCATCTACCGGAACTAATTCTGAAGACAATATATGTGGATGAATATGTATGATACATTGTCGGATTACGATAAATATCACATGAACTTGATTCTTAACACTCCCACTAGTGTTAGCGAGTGAATAGTCAAGGGGAAGTGAAAATGCACAAATGATCATTAAATTCTTTTATTACCTCTTCTGTTCGGACGGCTGATAGCGACGCGTTGAGATCAAGAAAACTGACTCGTTGGACTGCCCAGAGAACTGTCTCAAACAACTGAAGCGAACTGTACTAAACTGTTAGACTGAACCGTTTGGTTGAAAACTGCCTGGTCGAACTGTCGGACTGCTGAACTGACTCGAGAAAACTCTTCAGAGAACTATTAGACTCTACTCTCGAACTCTACTGATGAGCTGCCCAAAGAACTGTGTCCTCTCAAAAACGCGCCCGCTATTTATTTGGGTCCTAAAACTCGCCTCCTCCCTCGCTATCGATCGACGCCGTCGATCGCCGGGAACCGCGTTTTCCCTTTCTATAATCAATCCCGAGGAAAATGTCCAATCTATCGGTCGATAACCGCCCTTTTCTCGGACTCCCACAACCCAGACGGAGTCCGCACCAATCTCCCCACTTTTCGAGGTAGGGCAATCGGTGTAGTGTACCCGTACACCGTGACGTCACCATCCGTAGACGCACTGATGGGAATAAGGAATTAGGTGCAATGGGGGCTCTCCATGAATATGAATAAAG